TTCACGGGGCGGCAGTGAACTGAAGGCATTGTCCATCTCAGATGGCCACATCCAATGGGAGCCCTGTGGTGTTTGTCGCATCCCAACGCTTGGGTTTCTCACCAAGAACCTGTCAGTTTCCATCCACCCTCCTGACATTTTTTGTACCAGACATTACCAAACACACTGGGACTCCCGATGCCAAACCATGGTGCCCAGTGCGGACTCTTAAATGGTACCTAGCCAAAACCAAAACACTCAGAGATACAACTTCGCAGTTTTTCTTTACCACAATAAAACCTCACCGAGCTGTGACCAGAGACACTAGAGGCAGATGGGCAGTTTCAGCCATCAAGTTTGCCAACCCAGATTGGCCGTACTCTGTGGACAATAAAACACTACGCCTCATCAGGGCCCATGATATCTGAGCAGTTTCCACATCATGGGCCTACTTCAGGGACGTACCAATTGAGGAAATATGCAAGGCAGCATGCTGGAAGACCCCATCTACTTTCACCACATGCTACCTCACCGATGTTCTACAAAAGGACCCCGCACATGGCAGAGCGGTCGTAACATCAGCCACATCGATGCAGAGGGGCTCCTCATCAAAGCGGCCCACCACTGGAATGACATAACAACTCCATTATTTTGTGAGTCTGCAGTAAAGTTTAGACAATTTCATACTCCTCTGGCACTCATGTTTAATATGTAGTGTGTCCTCGCCGCACCCCCCTCCAAGGGCTCAGTGCTACTCTGCATATTTAGCGACTGTTTGGGGTATGCTGATAGCAGAAGACTCCTCCCCACAGAAAAGTGGCGAGGTCTGCTATTGAATACCTACCCCAGACAGTCGGCTCCCTCCCATCCTTCCCCACTTTTGGCTTGGACGGTTTTAATACCGGAAAAGGACAAACATGGCAGCTATTCTGCTATGTGTCATGGGACTAGAGGGCGCACTACGGTTGATCAGAAGTTTTAGGGAATTAAATCAGACGCAAAGGAAGTTGTATATTTAGCGACTGTTTGGGGTAGGTATTCAAGAGCAGACCTCACCCACATTTCTGTGGGGGAGGAATTTCTAAAGCAGTGGAATAGCCAAACTACTTTTATTCACAAAATTGAACTATATAAAGTGTTGCTTCTGTTGTATGTCCTGTTGCAGGAGAAAGCTGAGCCGAGTACAGTGGGCGTCTCTCATTATACTGTTTTTAACCATTGTGTCACTCTCCCAACATTCACATGAAGCAGCAAATTACAAACCTCATGGAATGACTAAGTTGAACAAGTCAAGTCAAACAAAACTGCCTTCATTGCACCAAGGAAGATGTATAGCTGATGTATCCCAGATTGATAAATGCAATAATTTGGAAACCTGCACCACCAAACTGAATAAATGGCATCTTTTACAGCACCTGGAGAGCATCTCAGTAATTGGAAAATATCAAGGCTATGTGTGGGTGATTCTTCAGTGCTTTATTTCATCACTGGCAAATATATATAATGAAAAAATATTCAAGGAAGGCAAAGGATTTGAGGATAGTATATATGTTCAAAACTCTAAACTCTATTTCTTTGGTGTCCTTGTTAATTTCATGTCTATATTATGTTTTAATAAGTTTTGGGAACATACAGTCAAATGTGGGTTATTTCATGGTTTCAACATATTTTCATACCTTTTGATATTAGACAGTGCATTCATGGGTCTCACTATTTCCTTGATTTTAAAGTTCAGAGATAATATGTTCCATGTTTTGTCTGCTCAATTAGTGACCGTATTGGTAATAGCAGTCTCTATTTTGTTTATGGGATTCCAACCTCCAATTGATTTTTTCCTTCAGGCACCAACAGTTCTCCTGTCTATTTATGTATTCAATATAAGTAAGGGGCAGTCAGAATCACCAAATCATCGTAACAGAACCCAGAGTACATCTGAACCTGTTAATGTATGCTAATCCTTAACATTCAAGATATCTGTAAGAATGTTCTAAATACTTAAACTGTTCTGGCATGAGAAGGGGGTAGGCTGATATTGCTGGTATGGGGAGGGGGCTTGACACCAAGTTACACAAGGGGTACTTGCCGTAACCTTATAACCAAACAGTTCATTTCAAGTCATTGTATTGCTTCCACTGTCTTTTCAGTGCATTATGACAGTTCGCAAGTTTGAAATCGATTATCTTTTTACTGTATAGTTTGAAAGTAATCTCAAAGTCTGCACCACCACAAAGCTGATAAAATGACCCATTCCTTTCCCCCTTGCATCCTTCCACATCCCTTAAGACTGGATGCTTTTGATACTCCACTCTTCCTCCAATATAGTAGGAACAAATGCACAATTTAGGCTCATACTCAAGGAACTGATTTGAAGTTAGTTTTGCCTATAATACATATACTGAGATGTATGTTTAGTTGTTTTGTGGATTTTTTTTTGCTTGGAACTGAGGGAGACAATCTAGTACCCAAAATTGCCACTTGCCATTTGGTTTTCTCAAAACAGTGAAAAAAGAAACTCCCCCTCTCTCTTTTTTGGTTTTGTTTGTGAATTAAGAAATGTGACCTCTTATTTTTTGATAAAAATTGAGATTTTGTTTTCAGTGAGAGGTGTACGGGTGTTAATTTTGTTGTACTCTTGTAACATGTTCTTTTGTAGCAACATGTATTTGTACTCTGCTGTTTTAGCACGTTGAGCTTAATTGGAAAGGTGTTTTGTGTCAGGTGGGGTTCACTGAAATAATATGTACACTAAGTTTTAACATTGTTGTGTTTGATAGTTAAAAAAATAAAACAATTATGGATCACTCATACTTCTATATAAGGGGTGAAATTGATAACGAAACATTTACTGATACATGTTAGAAGTGGAATTATGAGCCATGATCTATCAGCCTATTATTTTATATACATTGGTATAAAAGTTGTTACAAAACACTTAAGGGCACATTGCAAGTGAGATGATTTGGGTGAGAACCAGTGTGGATATTACTTTCCGCAATGTTAAAATTTTAATGCAAACTGATGTATTTTGATTTTAGTTTCTGGCTTCCTTGTACATGTATAAATTCTTTCAACATATTATGTTTCAGCAAAAAGTTGTGTAAGTAGAACATTTTGTTATTTACTTCTATTGTTTCTTAACCCACTAGTCCCAACATGTGTACCACCAAACAACTCTGTGGAAAGGGAATGGATACATTTTAATAACGGAATAAACATGTGCTTGGCTGGTCTTAAATGTGCATTTAAGACCAGCTAAGGAGACCGGCAACAACTAATGCCCAAGTCGCAACATTTCAGTCTCCTGAGCCGGTCTTAAACTAATGCCAAAGCACATATTTATTCCTAATCATAAATACCATTTTTTTAGTCAGAGAGTCAAAAGAATTCAATATATGACAGATTTTCAAAGATTTGGCTGTAGAATGTTACTTTCATTTTCCCGAACACTCCCGTCCATTTATTTTAGAGTTGTCCAAAAGAATCTCCTCATATGGACTTGGCGAACTGCGTGCACACAGACTCTTGACCAATTTGAATCAAAGTGTCTCGTATCCTGGCACCAGCAATTGATTACGCAGCGGGCATTCTCACTTCTCAGCGGGTGTTATCAAATGTAAATACGCTGTCAAGTTGCACTTTGTTGAATAGGGAGACTTTCGAGGTTCATGTACTTATGAATACACTCCTTAATGAATGAAAAGTTTATGACTCTTTGCCCAGCAACCAATAAATGTATTTGGTAATGGTCTTAATCACTTAATCAATCCCAGTCCTCCCTCTGTCCTGTGACCAAAAGAAAATGACAGCATTGTTTTGTACAAGTGGTCAAGGACAGTCTGAAGACCCTTCTAGAAATGATTTGTTTATGTTTGACAAAACAGTGGGTGGAAGTTATGTCTGATAAAGTTCTTCATAGTGCATGTTTATGTAATGTGGGCCTATGTGTTAGTGTGAAAAATCCCACATCTTCTTTAAATTTTCTGTAAAGGGTCCATTGATGTGAATTTATTGAAGTCCTTTTTGTCCCATTTAACTTCATTTTGATATTTTTAAAGGCAGTCTGGTGCCTTTATGGTAATGCAACTTTGAGCCAAAATCTAAAGTCTCCTGTGTTCACATACCCCTGTCCAGCCTACAAATGCAAATTTACCATGTGCCTGATTATGCATGCTGCCCCTTGACCCTCCACACTGCAGTCCCGCCGCCATGTTCGTCCTTGTTTTCTCAGCGCCTATTGTTTACGGACATGTCTTTTATGACATTTTTGGATTCTCCAGTTCTGTATCTTTCGCATTTTGAATTGACTTGATTCCTGTTTCGAAATAAAGAGTGATTTCTTATCTCTTGGTAAGAGTGTTTATTCTCATATTTCGTTCTTTGCATGCTGTGTTTCTCTCGTGGTTCTTTTCTGCCTGTTTTTTCTGTGCATCATACATATATAGGTTGGGATGTGACCTACCGTGATGTGGGTATGGCTGTTGAACAGGGTTTGAGGGCCCTTCGTTCATTATGTGGTACGTGCGTTCGAATGATAACGGCCCAACGCAGTACGGGTCTGGCCGTGGAGTGGGGCTTGGTGGGCTGCCTCGCTCCTTTTGTGGTGCGGTTTTGCTTAATCCACTTAGCGGCCTCGACGAGGTGAGACCATGAATAGGTTGGGGTTGAGTGGAGGTACCACAACACGCCCCGGACCTTTATCAAAAAGATCAGGCTGAAGGGGAGGTACCCCAACATGCCTAGATCGCTTATAACCTCAATAGATCAGGTTTAGTGGAGGTACCACAACATGCCTAGATCTCTGATGACCACTACCAGGATTGATTGGGCTGAGAGAGCGGTACCGTAACAATGCCATTGATCACTGACGAGTACCACCCACCGGGCCAAGCGTGCTGGTCTAGTACCCATGGTCATAGATGCCCACTCTACACCTATAGATCGGGTTGAGCGGATATACCGTAACAATGCCCTTGATCATGATTGTCTGAGAGTAATGAGCAGTTCTTTTCTCTATGCCGCAGGTCCTGGGCATCGCTATCAAGCGAACTACATGCTTTGTCAACTGCTGAAGGTCACATCTGCTGGGAACTGCACGGGGTTCACCTTATCCCAGCCATCGAGTTCCTGACAAAAGAACCAGACGCCTGCCTTCAGGCCTCCTTGCATATTTGTCCCCGACATAGCCTCGCTTTGGGGAGATAACTCTGACAAGAAATGGAGTCCGGTTCGTACTCTCAAGTGGTATCTCGCCAGGACCAAGCATTGCTGGGAGCCTGGTTTCAGACTTTTCATCACAACCACAAAGCCCTTTTATCTAGTGGCAAAGGACACTATTGCCCAATGGACAGTCTTGGCAATCATCTTCGTGAACCAGGACTGGCCAACTTGGCATGACGGGACGACCCATTCTCACGTCAGAGCCCATGATGTTCGGGCCGCTTCCTTGTCCTGGTCATACTTCAGAGGCATCTCCCTGGTGGATATATGCCAGACGGCTTGCTGGAGATCCCCCTCCACCTTCACCGAGTGTTATCTGAAGGATGTCCTGCGGAGCGAGACGGCTCACGGCGCAGCAACTTCGCGCTCATTGGTTGGGACAGCATCCAGCATCGTCCCTCACCGAACAATGAATTCTTTATCGTAGATACTTCTTTCTCTGGTGAGTGTTCGCTTGGGCAACGCCTGCCTATGTTCTCTAGTAACTACTCTCCCGTTGCTGACCCTCCTCCAGGGTACGGTACCATGTAGGCTGGACAGGGGTATGTGAACGCAGGAGACTCCTCCCCCACATTAGTGTGGGTCGGGTCTCCTAGTGATACTTACCCCTGTCCAGCCACTCCCGCCCGTCCTTCCCCACTTTGGCTTCAGGAATTTCTCCGCCTTGAAAAGGACGTACATGGCAGCGAGACCGCAGTGCATTGTGGAGGGTCAAGGGGCAGCATACATAATCAAGTCTTTTCAGCGAATTGTAATAGACACACGGGAAATTTGCATATGTAGGCTGGACAGGGGTAAGTATCACTAGGAGACCCGACCCACACTTATGTGAGGTGGATTTTCTATTGTGATTTGTTGCTTCAGTATATGACAGTTCAAATTCCAATAAGCAAATGATCTCACAAATAATTTCAATAGGTCCTAATCAAATTTGGGTTCACATCTAGAACAGTACCCTCCCCATAAAAACAGTGCCTACTTGAATAAGCCTTCTGTGAGTTAAATTTGAATAAAATCTGGTACACCAAGTTCTTTAAATTTACCTGAACACAATTGGAATTTTTCATACTACTGATTAACACTGTTGCTTATATCTTGTGATTCAGGGTAAGCTTTTGCTTAGTTACATATGAGATGTCTTGAAACAATACACTGTTCTGAATGGATAAGAAGGGCACAAAGGAACCATTCCAAGGTATAGCAACTGTGTCTTTAGTCTGGGGAGTTCAAATTATGTTTATGCACAATTACATAACTCAGTGTACGGACTTTATTCAAATTTAACTTGCAAATGGCTTATAAACACCTAGAATCAGCCTCCAGTACCTCACTTGTAAGGAAAAGCATGAGCTCTTCAAATGTTGAAAGTAAACTTTACAATATTATGAGCAAAAAAGAGATATTGTTTGGTTTTAGAAAATAGCTTGGCACCCCTGGAAATCAGTGTTTCACCAAGAGGTTACCCCAGGATAAATAAGTAATAAATATTAGTTTTCACTGAACATTTTCATATAAATTGCATGTTGTAGAGCTCTTAAACTCATGTCACTGTTGACACCTACAAATCATAAGCTTGCATGATCATGCTGAGCAATAAAGTAACAAAAAGTTTCTTGTCCCAAAATAGATTCCTTCTGATAGCCTCAGGAAAAGTCGCTGAAGCATTTGGACACCTGCTGATCCTGATTCTGATTTTCCGGATATTAGAGGGACAGTTAATCATTTGCAGTTATCCAAGAAGTAACTAATAAAAGCTTACATGTACTTAGTTCAAGGATGGTTATGGGACTAAGCTCCTTGTAAAATTATTCTTTCAGGCAAGTTGTCATTTTGAAGAAAACAATACCACAAGGTCATATCCAACGATGCATCGAAAGATGCATTTTGGAAAAATTGCCATAGAAGCACATGCTTGGGTTGTTAGTAGCGTGACATTACTTAGCTGCATTCGGCAGAATGTGAGAACGTCCCTTTATTCAAAACAGACTGGGCAACTTGATCTGAAATTCTGAAATTGAAATCCTGGAATGTTTTTCTCAGAATATTCAGTATTCACTAAGCTGATTTGTCCTTGAGCATCCTTGTTTAGATTTTGAGTAATTTTGTCGTCGCTAAGGAACACAATGCACAAATAAAAATGACGGACTGTACTTTTAAACTTACTTGAAGATAAAGGTTTAAAGAGGCCTTTTACTCTTCAAATTGACCTAAAACAGGTGTTGTTTCCAGTTCTTTGGTCGGGGAAGGATATATTTTTTAAACTTTATTTTGCTGTACATTTTTTTTTCACTTATAAGAGTCTTATCCTCAACAAATGACCCATTCAGATTATCCCTCACTTTGTATATGACCTTCAAAGTTGGGTTTTGTTATTTTAATTTTTATTTCTCCTGTGTAAAAAAGTACCAGACATATATGTATATATGTATATGTCTGGTACTTTT